TCATGGCAGCCATGATTATTGTGGTGGCTGTGATGGGCCACCCACATGGAGGTGATGTTTTTGGCATGCTCCTTGGCACTGGTGGTGTGCTTGGTTGTGGGGTGTGTCTGGTCCCCTTCTCCATGCCTTGAGTCACCGGGCAGGCCCCAAAGTGCTGGCGCAGTATGCCTGGTTGTGGGAGGGTGGTCCAGTCCCCCTCTCCATGCCTCAGGTCCCTGGGTGGGCCCTGAGGTGCTGGCATGGTGTGCCTGGTTGTGGGAGGAGGGTCTTTTCGCCAGCTCTGTGCTTTGGGTCACTGGGTGGGTCCCGAGGAAACAGCATACATTTTTTAAAACCAGGAAACATTAAGTATTAAAATTAGTACTAACTTTTTTATCAACTTATTAATATAATATTAAAACATCTTAATGACCATGGATAAAAATCAAAAACAACAGGGAACAGTGCAGTGGGCTATTTTGGATATTCACACTGTGATGCAATGCAAAGAAAGAAGTATTCAGATTTGGATGAGTTCACTAGAAAAAAGTGGGTTCATAAATTGGATTCATAAAAGAAAAAAGAGCTGAGTAAAAGTAAACAAATGTATTGAAAGAAATAACCATTAAAGTAGAATTAAATGAACTCTAAATCAAGTACTGTAGGGTTTTTTTTTTTNGCGACACTGAGGGTTGCGGTCCATTGCCGGACACGAAAAAAGACAAAAAGGAAAAAAAAAAAATGATTAACCTGGTAAATTTTATGTTGTGTTTCTTTTGTTGTTGTTTTTTGGGGTTTTTTTGTTTTTATGGCTGTCTAGTAACCAGGATCGAACCCCAGACCTTAGTGTTATGAGCAGCACACTCTAACCAAGTGAGCTAACCCACCATCCCTGTGTTTTTTATGACAATGAAAAAAAAACAAAAACAACTCTCACTTTAACTAAAAGGAAATATTATTAAATCGAAAGTAGGGACATGGAACAGTTTATAACTCTGATGCAATATATTAATTAACAATTACGTTAAAATAGCATACTTTTTTTTTGTCTTTTTCGTGACCGGTAAGGGGATCGCAACCCTCGGTGTGGTGTCGCCCGCACCGCGCTCAGCCAGTGAGTGCACCAGCCATTCCTATATAGGATCCAAACCTGCAGCGGGAGCGTCGCTGCGCTCCCAGCACTGCGCTCCCAGCGCTGCACTCTCCCGAGTGCGCCACGGGGTCGGCCCAAAACAGCATACTTTTTTATCTTTTAATTCCATTTTTCTTTTTTTTTAAATTTATTTTATTTATTGACTCAAAATCAATTATACATATTTTTGGGGTCTAACATTGAGATATGTTGATTAAATCAATATTACTAGCATATATATTGTTACAAATTGTAATTATTCTTTATGCCCCTTGTCCAACCTCTCCCCTTCCCCCATTCCCTCCCCCTCCCCCCTCTAGATTTCTTCTCTCCTTCTGAAAGAATAATGGTTACTCTGTTAATTTG